CAGTAAGTGCTGCTAAACACTGGACTATCATGAGACCACAACATTATTCTAGTGACCAGGAGCCTTGAAGTTGGCTGCTGAGCCCCAGGGTTTATTCTAAGTCTAAGGAGTATGATTGCCCAAGACCTTCAAAGGCGTTTGCAAAGTTGAACAAACTGAAAAAACAGGTACAAAGAACAAACAAAATAACTGTGATTGGATGATTGTTGCATAATGTCCTATTTGATATTTTGGTCTTAAGACAGACAAATTAGCCCTGTTAACTACCACTAGAGATGGTTTGCTTCCATTGAGTCCCAAGGACTTAGAAACTGTATTCCCTGTTTGACATGGGAGATAAATCCCTGGGAAAATAGTACATGATTGTCTGGCTTATATAAAGGGGAACTCAGTTTGCCAAATGCTTTATTTAGCCTTTCCAGATAGCCCGTCCCTGGACTGAAGTTTACCTCTTAATCACATTTCTGATACAAAGGTGCAGGATTTGAGTGAGTAGACTGGTTCCAGGATATGTGGGGTAAAATGTTTCAATGCTTTAAGCATGGAGGGAAACAGTGTTGGCAGAGCCCCGATGAGGTTAATCTGAGTGATGGGCTCGCTGCAGCTGGTTCTGACAGCTTACTCTTCAGCTGGAAGCATGATCCTTGAGGGCTTCCCCCCACCTACTTAAATAACACCTCCCTTGCAAAGGGATAAAATTAAGCTTCCTCTTTAACTGGTATTTATTGGGATTTTCACAGCATTCATTAAAGTGCTCTCCCAGGGCAATCTGCATAAAGATCTCATTCCAGTCCCCCTCAAAATATCAGCTTTAATATGAACAGTCCCGACTTCACTTCACTATCAATATTTTGGAAACAGACATTTTTGAGCTCAGATTCAACACTTTTAGTTGAGGACAGTGTGGTGAAATGAGAGGTCTCATTTCTATTTATTATCGCCCACATCAGGAGCTCTAGTCTGAGTGTAACTGTCAGCTGGTCTTTCAACCCTATCTGTCCCCAACCACTCCCTCCTCTGAACTCACATGGCCTTTTTTACCTACTTGTGTCCTAATCCTTGCAGCCTAGCATTTATTTTATTTATATTGACCATTTGCTCATACATATTTTCCTGCTATACTTTGTATTCCTTAAAAAGGGGGATACATTTATTCACTTGAATACCTTCCTAACTTTGCTACTAAATAATCTCTTAAAAACTGTCTTGAGGGGGTGTGGGGGAAGAGTGTAAATGATCAGAGCTCTACTAAACCACTTCTCTTGTGATTGTTCATTTTCTCATTTAAAGATGATTACATCAATGTGTCTCTCAAGATAATTATGTACTTACGTGTGATTGGCAAGGGTTTCAAGACCATAAAAAAATCTTTATAAATGCCAACCATGATTATAACCTTTGAAACAATGGGTATTTGGTTGCTAAGTAGAAAAAAGATGGGACAGAGCAGGGATATTTCTTTCCCAGCAGTTGTTTCTATCTCCACCCACCAGCAGAGACTATCTCAGATGTAAAAACACAAATTTGGAAGAAGCAAGGAGGATCTAGAGCATGTCCAGGACCTATTGCCATCACAATGACATCAACAGGCAGGCACTTACGTGGGACAAGAGGTGCCCAGGGCAAGATTTCCCCTAGATAGGAGACTTGCTGCAGTCCACTTTTGAAAAAAAAAAGATTCTGAACAAGAAAGCATTTGATCATATCTGTTCAAAATCGTTTCATCCATTAAGAGCAAAAGAAGAGTGCATTAGTAAAGGGACTGTAGAAAGTGTCCAGAAAAGCTGTGTAGCATTGTTGAATAAATGGAGTATTCAGATTTTCTGCTCCAGCGCTGGGTTAGGAAAAGAGACAGCAGAGATATCTTGTGAGCTTATTTTTATTGTAACCTTCCTTAAGCCGATGTTTCTCACGGCTGATGACATCCATTGTAAAGCAAAGCAGGATCGGTGATAAGATTGATCCAGCTTTGCAAGTCCTTAGGTCTCAGAGGTCACAATAGACAGAGAAAACATTGTGATTTTTACGGAGGAGTAAGGTGAGGGCCGAAGCTCTGACAGAATAAGTCAGCAATCCTAACCGGCAGTGAGCTCCAAGAGTGTTGGTGTTACTTGTCCCATTGTGTCTGGAAAAAAAAAAAAATCTCCAGGTGCAAAACAAAATGAACCATATGCCTCACATTGGAAACATCCAATTATCTGAGAGTAGAGAATGAGGGGGTGGGCTGCGGGGACTGTGTGGGGAGGTCACCTCCCTTCACAGGCTTCTTGGCAGGAGGTAGGACAGGGGTGATAACCAAGGGCTTGTGGTTTGGAGCTTTGGCCAAACAGCTCCTGTTTCTCCCAAGACTCCTGGAGGTGGGAGCAGTTCAACTTTTTCCCACTTCTCAGCCATACCTTTGCCAGTCACCTAAGAATATTTAATGCTCTGGCAGAAGGAGCCGGTGGGGTGGCCTCCACTGCCTCCTGTCTTGACGTCAGTAAGGGAGTTGTTCCCTGTGGCTGTCTTAGGTGAAATAATTCAGCATTTGTACTTCAATTACAACTCATGGGTATATATTATTACATGGTACTGACTCACTCCATGGCTTCTTCTCAACTGAAAGAGAGCCAGAAAGGTTGCAGAGATGTTAATCATGAAGACTGCATTAAAATGGAGACTTCCTTGTCAAACAATTTAAATTCAGGGCTGTAAAGCCAGTGCATCTCTCATGTCCGGACTGTCTCACCACCCTGGTTCTGTCTCCAATTCCTTCTGCCTTTGAGGGACAGAAAAGTAACATCCTAGCTAGAATCCTCTTTTCCTTTTGTGAACTCCATGAAAGCACCACTGGGTTTATGCACGTGCCTCCAAATGGGGCTAAGTCACATGGGTTTATGGCATCCAGATACAGCATAACTCAGAGGACACAATAGGAATAAACCATTTTGCATCGCTCAGCAAGCAAATAAGAGGGGAAAGAAGTTTTTCTTAGTACAGTTTTTAATTTGACATATAACTTTACACATCACAGGCCCGAGGGCATGGCTATGGGGGAAACAGCACGGGTGCTTCTTCTGCCCTTTGGTTTCCGAGAATAATCATCAAGTTCGGACAGAAGTGTTCTGAGCTGAGCAGCTGCAAACAGACTCTTCCCAGTTTACCGTTTCTTTCATCTGCAAAATAGGCATCCGGAAGTGTGCCCAGGATAGCTCCCAGGCTGCCTGCTATGAGAATATGCTCCATGTCAGACACACCTAGTACAATAATGCAGGAGAAGCAAGAGCTTTGTGTACAGCAGGCTTTGGACGCAAGGAGGAGGTGGCGCTTGAAACAAACAGAAACTCCCTAAGAGACACAGATGAAGAGTATTAGACATAAACACAGGGCCTTTTTGTCTTGTCTGCCTCAAGCACATTCAGCATTCTGTGTGAATTAGAATAAGGCACAGATCTCCTGGACAGACCCAGGTCTGCTGATCTGTACATAGCTATGTAAACGCCATGTTTGCCCAAGTAGAAAAGGGCATCCCATTTTGCAGCAGAGTGATACCCAGGGGCAGGATCCCAGGCCCCAAATACTCATGCCAAGCATTCATGCACAACCAAATCCAACAGCCTTGACTTTAACCCCGTTTCTACCTTCTTCAATTCTGAATCCACAGGATCATCTTTGAGGCTCTGTTTGCACACACACACACACACACACACACACACACACACACACACACACACACGTACACACACAAAAGAACGAGGATTTCTCTGGCCTCTGTTAGCTGTCAAAACCACAAAAAATCCTTACGGGCCTTTCCATTCTTTAATTTCTGAACTTAGGGATTTAAAGTCATCTGATGACACTCTAAATTTTTGAAGGAAATTATGTATGGTTTGATGCAGAGCAGATTAAGAACTGAATGCTTTGGTATATGCATGATGTCTCAGGTGCATAGCAACATGGCTAACCTGCAGAGCCGGAATGACAACTCCGCCTTGTCAGCAAATGGCACATGAGGTGGATGTAACATAACAACCCCTACTAAGGCTTTCACCCATTTCTGTAGACTGAGCAGCAGAATCAGTGCAGAAAGTTCTGCCTCTCCCAGCGCGCCCACTGTACCAAGGAAGGAACCGCAAGGAGTCACTGACTGATTTCTTTGTTGATGCCTTGTTGCCAGAAAACAGAAATTAGATCCTTGCCCAGATTCTCCTATCAGCAAATCTGAGTGCCAACAAGCTCTTCACGACAAGAGAGCAAACAAACAGCAATCTACCTTTTTAAAGATCAGAAACGTCTAAGTGTAAAATTGAGTTCAGAGTTTGAAAATGACACATAAAATGAAGTCATTCACCATTCTCGAGATGTTAACAGAAATAAATTTGGTCATATTTATGCAGATTTCTAAACTTAGCTTTGATTTTGAACTTTATCTGCCGTGTGTTGTATTTTCAGCAATAATAAGGACTTCTGGAAATGATTATCAGCAATTAAGTCATTTTCAGAGAAGGCGACTGAAGCCTGCAAAGGTAGATCCAGGTCACACAGCAGGGTGTACTTGATAGGGCTGGGATTATCATTGAATGCTCTTTCCATTCTCCCATGATGAAAATGTCACCAGAAGGTTTGGTGGAAAACAGATGGCACATAAATCGCTGTAACACAATTTTCCAGTTTCAGAGGATGAACGCTTCTCACACTAACTGAAATCACAAATGGCAGAAAGTGAATCTTGCATCTACCGCTGCCCATTGCAAAAGCAGGGCTCTCCTAGTGCACCCCTGGGTGAGAAGCAGGCCAGCGCATGCCAATGTGTGTCGGCAAGAAGCAGGCGCTCTCTCCTCAACTCTGCTCACCAATCACATCAGCTTCCAGCACAGCCATGTTCCCACCTGCCTGGAACCCTGAGCATCTGCCACATGCCAGTGTTGCTCTCACGGCTCCAGTGGGATCACACACACACACACACACATTGGTACCTAAAGATAAAGCCAACCTGTAGGAGTAAAATAACAAACACCACATTTTAAAACAAGCCTCCCTTTTATTAAACCCATCAGACACAAGCACAAATCCATGTTCTGGATAGCAGCAATGAGAAAGGGTTGTCAAAACATACGCAGACGAAGATATGGATCAGAAATTCATTTTTGTTACTTGAATTCACAATACCTTTGTTCCTTATGGGGCACCACTCTGACAACCTATCAAATGGTGCCCTGATCCTGATGGGGTTAAAGCTTTTATTGTAAAGTCACTGGGGTTAAAAAAGCATGCCACTACAACCTTCACTTGACCATCCAAAGAAATAACTCACAGAGCAGGTCTATTCCAGTCCACAGTGGTGGGTGGGGAGTGCTCCAAAGGATCCAGTACAAAGGGAACTCCCTGGTGGGAAGCCCAGAGTTTATGACCTTGACCAAGACCTTGGAAGCATGGGGTACTCCTCTGTCCTACGGCGTCCCCATCAGAGAGACCCCTTCCTGAAGCCTGGGTGACCTGTCCCCTTCCGACAGCTACAACGATGAGGACTCTGAGGGAGTCAGAATGCCCAGCGCTCAGCTGATGCTGGGGGCTTGGAGGTGGGGTTGAGAAAGTGGCTAGAAGGCCTGGAGACAGAGTCACATGCTGACAGTAGTCTGGGAGTAAGCAAAGGGCTACAGTCGCTCCAAGAATGACCTTATTTTCGCTGCATGAGTGTCTTTAAATCAGCAGCAAGTTAATGTGTGTGTGTGTGTGTGTGTGTGTGTGTGTGTGTGTGTGTTGGGGAGGGGTGACTGGGCTTGGGCAGAGAAAAGCCAGGACAGATTGACTTACTGAAGCAAAGCAAACATCCCGAAGAACAGAAGGGAGATATGGCAACTCATATTCACTCTATTAATTTATACCATGATTCTGTACAAAAATAAAAAGGTTCTTATAAGATTAACAATTTAAATAAATATTTGATAGAACTTTCTCTTTGCTTTTCATAGCTCATCTTTAGGGTTGATATTCAATTCGTGCTTCCCTTGCTGTTCTTGATCCAGGATTGCAATCACTTCATCAGCCTGTATCCGTTCCTGCAAAAAAAAAAAAGACAATTTACACATTACTGTTAGCAGAATAATAATCAGCCTTGGCAGCAGATGCTTCCTGTACATTTCCAGGCATCCATCTGCACACGCGATGGTGCTAAACCCAGTCAAACATGTAGCCGTATCATCATGTCCTGAGCAACCACTTTCCAAGATTTCTATTCCGTAAAAAGGGCTGTTGTGTTCAGAAGCTTGCCACTGTGGGTAGTTCACAGTTTACATACACCTGCAACTCGGACCTGTGTTCTAGCCCACTACTTTCCTGCACGGACCCACTTTCTTTCTTCTTGGCACATTCTTTTCCTTAGTAGAGACCATCATTGCCCACTCTTTTTCCTTAGGAAGCCTGTGTTGCCTTACCCTGAAAAGTCAAGTGCTCCCCTCTATTCTGTCTCCTATTTCTGCCACTTTTCCTTTACATGACATTATTATTGTGTGAAATTAGGCAAGTCTTGGCACTAACAATGCTTTATGTTTTAGAATTTGTATTTTATTATTGAGAAAGAGAGAGAGGGAGAGAGGAAGAGAGAGAGAGATCTTCTATCATTCACTTCTCAAACACCAACAACAGTTAGGGTTGGTTTAGGTGGAAGGCAGGAGTCTGAAGCTCCATCTGGGTCTTTCTTGTGGGTGGCAGCAGCCAAAGTGGTGGCTGCCCTCCTAGGCATATCAGCATGGAGTTAGCTTGGAAGCAGAACAGCAGACTCTCCAATCAACACTCTGCTTTTGGGGGCAGGTGACTTTAGTCAATGCGCTCCACGATTGACCCCAAAGGTCAGGGGAGTCTTTGCTGTGGAGAACTATCTTGTGCATTTCAGTATACTCAGGAGGACTTCTGGATTTTATCTGCGACAGATGGCCTGGAACCCAAAAATGCGACAACCAAGAAAAGTCTCCAGACACTGTTAAGTGTCTCCATTTAAGAGGGAGATGCACTGTTGCGGTGGAGGCCTCATCTCCAAGCACAGACGCTACAGCAGTAGCCTCGTAACCCATCTCCTCGCTGCACTATCCCCCACAACCTCTTGCACACACTTCTTTAAAAAAACATTTTATGATTTGAAAAAGAGAGTCCGCCGCAAGAACCTCTAATGTGAAATAAGGCTCATGTGATAGAAAGCATGAGCACCAAGCTACAGGAAGCTGAACTCTTACATCTACACAAAAACATGAGTACTACTTTTCGAAACTGGGAGGAACAATTCCAGCACTGTCAAACTGAGAACTATACAGTGCTTTCCACACCCGTTGGAACAAACTGCAGATGTGTCCCGCGAAGGGAAAGAAACTCAAGAGTTGGAGTTGAGATACATGAAGCTTCTAACATCCTCATCCGTGAGTGTTTGTTGTGGCATTTACCCTGAGAGCTGAGTGTCTTCTGACCACTCCGCAGGGGTGGACAATCAGAGCAACAGTCAAGGCGCCGACTGAATCACCTCTATGAAATCCCAGCAGGGCTGGCTTTGAGTTCTGGCCCTGATCTTGATCGAAGCCTCCTGCGCATGTACACACCGGGACACAGCAAGGGACGGCTCAAATGGTCGACTCACTGCTACCCACCGCGAGCCTCGGATGCCACTCCTGGTCTCTGCTTGTGGACTAATCCTGCCCAGAAGTGAATGTTTGGGAAGTGAACCAGTGGATGGAGGATCTCTGTGTCTCTGCCTTTGCCTTTCAAACTAACAAAAATAAGAATTTAAAGAAATCTACCTGTAGAATAAGCATAAGATCCTGCCAGTTCTTATGACTTACTTGTTCCCAAGTTGCAAAGAAGTTGTATCTAAGAAAACATGGGTAAAATAAGGACTCCCACACTTGGCTTTACATTTAGAACTACCAGTGAAGCGTTTAAAATTTCAAATACCCAGATAAAACCCCCATGTCTATTAAGTCATGGTTTCTTAGGGTAGAATCCAGGTAATTCCAGTGTGTGCTAAAGACTGGTTAACACTGCTCAAAATAAGTTTTCTCTTAGCTGCTTTGGATGCACTTGCTATTATCTATTGTGGCCACTAGATGTCACTGCGGTCTGAGCACTGGAGAAGATCCCCAGTACTTTTCCATGGGAGGCACTGACTGCAGAATGGCAAGTGCCAGAGATTCTGATATATGACAGTCCTAGCGCGTGGATACTGAATGTCCAGACATATGAATACATTTGAATACTAACACAGTGAGTCAATTTATCAACAATGTGTTATTTTTGCCGTCTACACATTTACCTAGGTTCTCTGTACAGAGGGAGAGCTTTGTGGAAATGCTTATATTTTGGAGGTTGAAAACACATAGAGAGAAAGGAAATGCAATGGAAAATTAGATGAAGTCTGTTGAAGTATTCAAGACTCAGTGCCCTGTTAGCTCGGTCAAGACCATGCCTCCCCTTTCTATACCTGGGCATGATTTGATTTATTTATTCACTTTGTGCACGGCCAGCCGGCAGGCAGGTAGTTGAGGTTGGTATCAGGGAGTGAGTACTGGAGCTATCATTTGTGAGACACAGAGGAAGAACTGTTACCCAGGCACGCGAATGTGGGATGCAGACATCCCAGGCGGGGGAGAAGCCCACACCGCCCATCCTTGGGTGTTCCAAGGACAGAATGCTGTGCCTCCACTGGCAGCTTGGGCTAAAGAGGACTCAGAAGTCTTCCGGCTTAGCTTCTGGAAGCTTCCGGGTAGACTGTTCTATTCAGGCTTGGGCTGCGACTGCAACTGTCCATTAGGAATTCCAAAACAGAGGGTTCTACCGAGCAGTGGTGGGGACTAATGGGAAGGTATCCTTACTTACGCTGGGGCCAGGCTTTCACCGCAGGGGCTTCTGTCCCAGTTGGTCTTCACCCGTGCTTCCGCAGCCTCACAGACATGGACTGTTTACCTTCGCTTCAGGGACATCCAAACCAATGAAACCTGCTCTGTATCTCGACTCATTGTACCCTGCTACTTCTAATATAATAGGATCTTAATATTTAGTTGAGTAACAGTCACAAATAATAACTTTCAGTTGGCTCACCCTCTATCATGTATATCATAAATTAAATGGTGCCTTTTTATTTTAAAAAAGGAAGTGATTTATTTGATTTTTAATATTTATTCATTTTTATTAGAAAAGCATATTTACAGAAAGGAGAGACTGAGACAAAATTCTTCCATCTGCTGATTCACTTCCCGAATGGCCACAATGGCCAGAGCTGAGCTGATCTGAAGCCAGGAGCCGGGAGCTTCTTCTGTGTCTCCCACCTGTACACAGGGTCCCGAGGCTTTGGCCCATCTTCTGCTGCTTTCCTAGGCTATCGGCATGTAGCCGGATGGATAGTGGAGCAGCCAGGACACAAAACCATGCCTCATGTGGAATCCCAGAACTAGCAGGGGGAGGATTAGCTTGCTATCCACTCTGCCAGCCCCTGTATGGTATTTTCTTTTAACTGATTTGTTGAGGAAAGTTGCCCTGGTGAACAGCAGAAAGCAGTTTTTCTCTCCTGATACCCCGGCTTGTCGATAGGCTCAAGATGAATTAGCGACAGCCAAATGCCACTGACATCATGTGCTTCTGCGCTCCTCGCTTGTTAGAACTGCTGTGAATAGGAACTGCCTTCAAGGCCCTCTTCGGTCTCAGAACCACTGAGAACATCTGATCTGAAGTTGCTAGTTGAGTGTGACTAGAAAAACATGGTCTTACGCCGTAAACAGTACCAGGGTAGGGAACCAGAAAGAATTCTATAAATATTCTGCTCGGTTTCTAAGTTCCTCTAAGGACTACATCAGCTTCAGGGATTTTTGTAGTGAACCAATTCATGAAGCAAATTTTTGTGGCTTTCTGGGTGTGTCAAGACACTCACCAGTTCTCTGTAAAGTGGGTCCAAGGTAAACCACAGGGCCACGGCACACCTCTGGCCCCTGGTGACTGCCTTCACCCCGTGCGGGTTCTCTCCTCCAGAGGAAAAGCTGACCATGCGTCCACATTTGGGTTTTATAGAAGCCTGTGTAGGAAAGTGAATATTAAACTTTAAGTTTAGACAGCTCATCCCTTCTCTGGCCTTCCATGGGATTACTTAGGCTAAAGTGTTAAACAATAATGGAAACCTAGCGTTTAGCACACCTAGACTGTCTCCACTTTTCATCTTTAAAACAAAGGCCAAAAATAATATGCTCTTTGGAAAATAACTTATTTAAGATTTGTTTAAAAGGCAGAGCTAATGGCAGATGAATGAGAAAGGGAGGGAGGGAGAGAGAGAGAGAGAGAGAGAGAGAGAGAAGATATTTCATCTGTCTGTTCACTCCACAGATGGTCACAATAGCCAGTGTTGGACCAGGCTAAAGCCAGGAGCCAGGAGCTTCTGCCAGGCCCAATGTGTGGGCCGTTTTCTACTTCTTTATCTAGTATGTTACACATCAGATGTGTAGCACAGACATTGCACAGAGTAATTGCTTGATACACAAAATGTGTATGGGCATTACTAAATGCCCATATTCCAAGGAAGTGAATGCTCTTTCAATTTAGTTATTTCGCTTTAGCACAAGCAATGCACCCTTGTTTGATTAGGTATACATTTAGCAGTAGTGAAATTAAAAAAGAATCAAGAGAAAACCTATAAAGTGCCAGAAACATTTTACTATTGACCTCAACAGCGGGCACGCGTGTATGCTCTCATTCCTTCATTATACATGTATGTTTCATTATACAATCCATTTCCAAATTCAAGTCTAGTCAGTTCTCTGTGATACTTGACTGTTTTTGCAATATCCCTGCCCACTTGTCATGTCAGCATTGTCTGAACACCTCAGGTGATGGGAACACACCATCGCTTAGCACTACGCATCCTGTGGTCACCGGGTGTCTTTGGGATGACCGACACAGATCTTCCAAGTTCCGTGCATTGCTTGGGTAGGGTTGTCCTCTAACATTTAGGGACAGGATGTGATGAGCAGCTAACACATTCAGCTGGCCATTGGATCAGGACATACAATCAGCCAGGCAGGCAGTTAGGGGAGCAGCCACATGGTAGGGTTCCTTCTCCTTTGAAAAGTGTCTGGCAGAGGATGTGGCTTTCCTCCTTGGGAAATAACAAGAGCATCACTCATTCTATGGCAGAGCTTGGAGGAAGAGCCGTATAAACCATTGCAATACCTGCTCCAACAATATATTGTCTAAATCGACTTGGGTTGACTCAGGCCCATTAGGTGAATCTTTGATTTCTTTCTGCACCAAATGAAATGTCGGTGGTTGTCATGGGAAATGCTTGAACATCTTTCCGAAGGCTCTGCATGCTGTCTAACATAAACAGTCCCAGTTAGAGTAACTGCATACAGGACACCGGAGGCAGTGGACAGGTCAAACAGTCAGAGACTCGGGGGTGCGCCAGTGTGCTCGTGTGCTTGTGTGAGTTCATGTGACAGCACGGAGAAGTGTTTAGTTACTGCCTACTGTCCTATTCACCACAATGGAGGATGCCTTTGTTTCTACTAGGAAGCATGCTGTCCCATCAACACCTTCACCAGATTTCTTTCCTGATGGAAACCTAGAATTCACTAGTCATTGGTGTCCTTGGGAATCATCTGATTTCTTTTCCAAGATAAAACCTTATTGAGAAGGGTTTGGGGTTTTACCTCACTTTATATGCCGTGTCAGGCATGGCTTATTTTCTCTCTCTCCACATGGCAATGCGAGAGTAACTGTTTATCTTGCGATTGCAGCTGCCTGTTCCGGAGGCCGTTGGATCCCTGCTGCTACTCAGAAGGTGCCTCCTCCACACCCAGTGGCCAGCACCTCCGAGTGCATACAGGGGCCAGCAAACAGCATCCCATTCACGTCCAAAACAGGAGCAAGGGAAATTCAGGGACTGGGTGAAGCGCAAGTATTTCTAAATGTGAAGAAATTTGGGCTAGTTCAGGAAAAGCAGCTCTTAAGTGCCTGGCACAGCTGGCACCGACTGAGATGTGTGGGATCACAGTGCTGCCCAGGACCAGTCCCACCAGCCAGGCAGCATGGCTGTTTCATTGCCAGGACGTGGAGGAATTAGAAGACTCAGGGAGCTCGGCTCCATGCATCATGTTTTCAAAAGGAACTAGGTCCCATGGTTTAGGTAAATCATTGTGAACACGTATTTCAGACAAGGCTCCACTCACACTCACTTGGAATTTTCATGAGCTGAGTGCACCTCTTTGGATTTTATCTTCTTCAAATTTGTATAAAGAAAAATGCTTTCATTCTCATGTGTCACAAATGAAGTCTATTTATTGAAAATAACCAAAATACCTTCCAAGTAGGATTCCTGAATATCTCAGTTTCCACCTAAATAGCAGTCAGGAATCAGGGAAACACGAGTGATGTAATAGCCCTGAATAAATGTAAATATTTAGCCCATCAGTTAGTGAATTAGACAATATCCAGATTTTCCAAAGAAAAATATCTGGAAGACCTCAGTTCCTGGTGTAAATCCCGGCTTAGTAGGCACTTCACTTGTCCTTCTGGAATCAAAAAGGAGAGCAAAAAGGGAAAGCCGGTGCTTCCCTTCGCTTTTCGGACTCATGTGTGCAAATCCCTTCTTACTGTAACTGGTATAAGATGACAAGGAAGTGACAGCAGATCTAAAGGAAAATTCCGTCTACCTGAAAATGTCCTAAAACACAACTTCATACAAGAATATTAAGTATTAGTGATTTGGAAAAATGGTCTCAAGTTGGGACTTTTGGGTTAAAAATATTTAATTCAGTTTGTCCATACAGTTTTGTAAAACTTTATTTTATACTTTTGTCAAACCAGTAGTTAAGACTGTTAACCAAATATAAATTTAATGACCTGTGATTATTTCAACGTTCAGTGTGCATGGTGAGATGGTATTCTGTCTATTCAATTACTGTTTACAGCCATTGTCAGTATTCGCACTAAATCTTTTACATAAAATATATCACCTCAAAAATCTTAAAAGGAGAAATTAAGGAGGGAGGATGAGAGGAAGAAGTCATTGCATTTTAAGTCATATAGAATCTGTTAAATAATAATTAAAGGATCTGGTGCAGTAGCCTAGCAGCTAAAGCCCTCACCTTAAATGTGCCAGGATCCCATGTGGGTGCCAATTCTAATCCTGTCAGTCCCACTTTCCTTCCAGCTTGTGGCCTGAGAAAGCAGTCGAGGATTGCCCAAAGTCTTGGGACTCTGCACCCACGTGGGAGGCCTGGAAGACGTTCCTGGCTTCTGGCTTCGCATCAGCGCAGCACCGACTGTCATGACCATTTGGGCAGTGAATGATCAGATGGGAGATCTTCCTCTCTGTCTCTCCTTTCTGCATATCTGACTTTCCAACAATAAATAAATAACTCTTTAAAAAACACTAAGTAAAATGAAATTAAAAGCTAAATATATAAAATTAGTGTCGGTAAAGAGGTACAGGTTATTATTAAATTTGCATGACTTTGAAAGGCAAGCATCATTGACTTCTGTGTCATTAGAAAGTAGCAGAACAATTAAATTGAACATAATTTAGGCATCCCTTGTTAGGCTATCTTCTTTAAGCATTTCCAAATACAGCCACTAGATGGAGTAGAACCAAAGAAATCATTTCAACCACTTGTCTGAATTTCAAACTTGGTGCAAGCACTTTGCAAATTGGCTTCAGTGTCAGAAATCAAGCTAATCCAAAAATGAGGATCATGTTTAAGAGTTTTAGCTCAAGTCCTGACTATTATCTTGATAAAATTTCCCAGATTATTAACCATCAAAGTATTTCCAGATTAATATTTAAACTTTTTAGAAAACAGTGGAGAACTGTGACTTTTTAAATATGTACTGCTGTACTCAATTGTGTTAAATATTTTTTTCTGAGTTTAACAATGTTTCTGGATAATGCTAAGAGGAAATCCCTTTAAAACAATTATGGTCATTCTTATATTAACTGTTAAGTAGCGACATGGATATTTAGAGACGTGCACAAAATTCAGGAAAAAAAAAAATGTTGTAGAAACTGCTTAAGAAATGCCAAAGTTTGAATTTAATCACATACCAGCCCCGAGCTATTGATATACTCTGTGATGGAAAATCCCTCAAAATCTGTCATTTGTTATTCCTTGCTTGAACCTGTTCTTCCTCCACTACTGCTGCTGTCTTGTTTTCACAAAGCAGAAGATGCTGACTCCGTGAGCTCGGAAGGTGAAGTAGGCTACTTTTGTAACGCCATTGGCTTCTTTAGGAAGATGACAGTTGGACTTAACTTCTGATTCACATACTCTACAGGTGCACATGTACAGGTGCACATGTCAACCACAAATGTCTAACGTATCTCTGCAAACAATATACACACATGTACACACATGCCACATGTACGCATGTACGCTTGTGTAACGAGAGTTGTGCGGGTCAGTGTTCAATACACGCATGTCCAGCACAAGGTCATCTCACCCTTGACTCTCTTGACTTTCCCTGGATGTTGCTGACTTAGCAGCAACCAAAGTTATACTTTTAGTACATCACTAAAGGATCAGAAGAGCTTGCTTTGGGTTCCAAGTGTTAACTAGCCAGCTGTGTGAGCACGCCCCTTTTCTTTCATTTACCAATGTACAAATGGTCTAGGGGCCATGAGGGGGTGCTTCCCACTCTAACACCTTCGGATCTAGGGATTACTTGCACTCTTTCCATCTCTTTAGTACTTGAATTTGGTAGCATTTGAAATCCAGTTTTCTATGGGTCCTGGGAAAAAATGACAAGACTCAGATAAACAAATAAGCATGCAATGAACACATTCACAGCAGGGGGTTTACTTACAGTCACGGTTTTGGCATCCATCTCAGTAAATATGAACTCTCCTCCTTCAAAGTCATCATTCATATACAGGAGGGCGCTACAAGCAGAAAGGCAGAACCACATGTACACGTTCAGAGCAATGTCACTCTAGAGCATTGAAGCCACATGGTGATCTCAACAGCCTGGCCAGGAAGGTTTCTTACTCCTTCGGACATTAAAGTAATTGATCCTGCAAACCCTAATATCAGAAATCGTTTTAATGACACCTCTGAAATATTTGCTTCGGATGTTTTAAAGTGCAATAATATTGCAAAGCTCACATTTCATTTCCTCCAAAGAATTCTAGATTTGTTTTATCTATCCTTCCTCTGATACTGCCCATGTTATTTATAATTCTCTTCTTCATTTATAGGCAGGTAAGGCTAAAGGACATGTTTTATTCCTTCGCTGCTTGGAGAGTTTCCTTGTGGTCAAGCCTAGACTTACAAAGAAACATTTTTGTTTCACACAGCACAATGTGTTGATAATTGCCATACTATTAAACACGTGCTGAATACTGACTTGTCTCTTCCCTTTATATGCCTACATATTTTAATAATATGTTCCTTCTGAGGTTTTAAAATTCAGACACAGTGTTTCTCATAGACATGGAATATGTAAACGGATAAATGATGAATGATGTGATAAGATCCTGATTTATACTGGGACACTCTGCCCATATATCCTCTGATTGACTTGTACCACAAAAGGTACAGTTCAGTCAAGACGAAGCACTTAAATTAGCAAGTCCACTTTTTACATTAAAACAAAATGAACGTTTATGAAAACATGTAAACATCTGTATGATCTTAAAGGATAATGCAATGATGAGATCACTTTTCAGACATAGGAATTGCGTCTGGAGATTGCTTGAGAAATCTTAGCTTTAGAGAGATGAACATGATGACAGGCAAGATGGAGTGGATTTCTAATTCCCACATTATTGATCATTGGGGTAAAAGCTTAGTCCCAACAGAGGTGCTGGTGGTACCTGTAGTCTCGGAATGTATAAGCAGGAGGCTCTTTCCAGCATTCGTTGGCCTCAGGATCCAGCAGGCAGTTGTCAGCATGGATGGGATGGCTGAGGTCATTCCTTCTGTCCTGTTGACCTGCCAAGAAACATCAATGGAGGAGAATGAGCAAAGAAAGCACAGGAACTCCCAACAGAAAATTGGACACTGTCATTGTCTTTTCCTATTCCTGGCATCCTTTACAAATGTAGTCAGAAGAAAGGCAGAGAAGAATAAGTAGTCATGGGATTCGGGTCTTCTTTCGTTATGGTCCTGATGCGAAATCCTGGGCAAGTCACATCTGTGTTTTCAGCTGTGAAACTTTTCTAATACAAATGTACATGCACAGATTTCATACATGTAATCATTTTTCCTTCATGTAGAATAGCAAAAAAAAAAGGAGGAAGCAAAATTGTAAAAATAAGATTTTAATTCAGCTGACATTTCATAGATGTGAAAGTATGCAATGACATTATTGCTGCCCTTCTATTCAGGTGGGAAGGAGAGAGAACATAGAAAAAAAAAATTCAGAATGAGCAGAGGGTGCTGAACACATCTTTAGCTTCTATTCTTTCCTTCAATCGATGCTTGTGGGCATGATGGACCTGTACGTCCCAGGTGCCTGCTTCCCTGCAAAGGGACACCTAGAACAGAAAAGCACTTTTCTGCATGGCTTCAGGGACATGGATTTGAAAGGGAAATTATGAAGAAGCATCATTTTCTGGAGCTTTCAGGGACCAAAACAGAGAAACAGCAGGAAAGGAATAAGAGCTATGAGGTACTTTTGTTTTAGAAGAAAAGTGGAGAACTTTCCTAAAATCTTAGCCTAAGACATTTCTCATTGTTCTCTTTGACTCTGCATTATGAGTGGCGGGGAACAAGTTCAGAATCTGGGAGCTCACCAGATAGGGCTGTACGACAGACCATGTGTGTATAGGAAAAATACAGGGTTGAATTCAGCATGAAATAGGATTCTACAATTTTTCGAGCCTTCTCACTGATGTCATAAAAGAGACGGGCACTCTTCAGCGGGACTCGGCCTTCATAACCAAACTGAAAAACAAGAGGGAGACAGGGAGGTACTCAGGGACACCAAGGTGCATGGAAGCCTTCTTAAAGAGTAAATACTAACTAAGCCAATAGAAGCTGGCCATCATGATGCTGACTGATGGAAGTATTACCACAAATTTGTTTGTGGAGTCTGGTTAGGGCAGAAGCCATTGAAATAAACTCTTCTGAATGACACAGGAAAGGTTCAAAGTTAATTCTTTTCTCATCTACTCTTTGATCCTTTTCAAAACTACTTATTAGAGGAGCGAGCAATCATTTGTTTGGTTGTATTTTTCCTACTAGGTTACGTCCCTGCCAAGGACAGAGATTGCATTATTTTAATGAAGTACAAATTTAGGAAATACAATGACTGATAAAATGATGGCTAAATGAAGGACAGATTTTTTTTTTTTAAAAAGCTAATGGCTCTGTTTTGTTTTGTTGTTTTGTTTTTAACCAAAGACTTGCTCCCTCACCCATCCCAAAGGGTATTGATTCTAAACTCCACTCTTGCCTGTTTGCCAATCACAAAAGTTCCTGGACTGACACTGAGGAACCCAAAGCCCAGAGAGGTCAAGGCTTTACTTTGAGTGCTTTCAGAACGGTTGCACCTTCAAACTTCTCATTGGGTGTATGCGGTGAAGTTTTTCCTCTGTATCCATCACCTACAAGCATGATTCCCTGGAAGGGGGAAAAAAACACCAGGAAAATATTTCATTGATTATAACTACAAATTTATTAAGTCTCTCTGTCTTGGCAGGCAAATGTAAGAATCAAAGAGAATATTCAAAATGATCTCTACTGCTAATACAAAGTTCTATTACAGTAATGCATCCAACCCAAAGATAAGAATCTATTACACCTTCACATTTTCATGATGATCATTAAAGCCTTTTATGGAAATGATGAATATATGGTTGAACAATGCATGGGTAAATGATGTATTAAAATAAGAGGATATACAGACACATTACTAGATAGCTGTTGCTAAAGGCATTAACGCACTTTCCATTCCAGGTTCCTGGAGAAACTGAAGTGACCCCAAGGGAAAAGGGCTAACCCCTCCCGCCCCTGCCCTAAAGCTCAAGATCCTTCCCTTGAAGGTTTTGCAGTTTCAGCTTTGGTTTCCTGGGATCAAATGGGAACAAACCACAGAACTCCCAGGTTAATGACAGGCCTATGCAGCAGCTCCCCCTGCTGCTCTTGTGCTCACACTGGCCACGCTGTGCAGCTCCCGGCACTGCTCCTCCGACAGGACATTATCCAGGAGAACACGCTGAGTCCCGTTCAGTTGCTCCGAGTTGTAAACGAACGTGATATTCTCGTAAAGCAGTGGGCCACCTGAAATGACAGAGCACAATGCCTTCCTGTCAGCTCCGTCCCCAAGCCGAGGCACACATACGAAACATCCAGCAGCTTCTTATGTGTGGCTTGGGAGAGTCCTTATCTTCTTGTATATTTAGGAATGCAAAGACAAATGAGCAGTTAGGAAGATTGGTGGGCACCCCCGTTTGGATCTACCACATGGGATGGAAGAAGCCCAAATCCTGCCTTGTAGGATCCAAGATCATCAGAACAACAGCCTGAAGCTACCATAAAATCTTGATGTACTATGGTGATTTTTAACTTAATCAGATGTTAATACATTATCTATAAGTTCATTGATGTTTACCATTCATTGCCATTTTTCAACCATTGAAGTATTAACACCTGGTTCCAACTTGGCCATGACTGAACCCATACCTACTGATAGGAAAACTCAAGATAACATTTGTTTATGATGTTTCCATCCCGATGACACACTTGTCACTTCTCTTTAAGGCTGTCATCAAAATTTATAAGTGCAGAGGTTTTTATATTATAAGAAAAAACATCCAAGCCCTTAGCATTAGCACCATATCTTTCTGATGGGTAGAAAAAACATATCCTTGTTTCTATAGTTCAATGTTTCTCAAAAAAAAATGTGTCCTAAAAATTGTTGGCAAATTCTTGGTTGAAAATTTGAAAAGACTTCTTGAAACTTTTGTTGAGAGGCACAGAGGCATAGAAAGAGAAAAACATGGAGAGCTCTCATTCATGGGGTTCTCTTTCCAAGTGGCATTGATTGCTGTGAGGCAGGCCAAAGATGGGACCTGGGAACCCAGGCTATGTCTCGTATCGCAAGCAAGGACCCAACTACTCAAACTAGTATCTGCTCTCTCCAAGTCTGCATTAGCAGGAATGTGCAGTTGGGTGCGAGGTCAGTCACTGAAATCAAGCAATCTCCTATGGGATGTCAGTGTCTTAACTAACATCTTCACTGCTGGCCAAACGCCTGCCCTCTTCGAACTTTTCATTTTCAAGCAGGCCTTATAATAACAATAACATAAGGAGCAGTTCTCAGCTTAACTTAGCATTGTAGGCTGCCACCCCAACCCCAGAATTAATTAGTTAATTCTCTCTCTCTCTCTCTCTCTCTTTCTCTATTTTTCTAGTTCTTTTCTTCTTTCAACTGAAAGGATCTCAGATAGTTGCCTAACATTCTGGCATCATGCCCTTGTGTAATGTTTTCCCCATAACTATTGGTATGGCTTGGAATTTCCTTTAGCCACTAGGACACAGCAAAGACAATGGATGCCACTTTGTTACACAACACTGTGACTTCTTTTTTGCTAGCAGACTCGGTTCAGTGCCTTCTCAGGTTGCACGATTTGATGTAGCAAGCGGTGGTTTATGGGATGCTCACAAAACAAGGAACTCTTCTGGCCAAGAACCAACTAGGAACGAAATGACCATAGCGTAGTAACTTTTTAAGCACTGAATTCAGCTTGGTAACTTGAAGAAAATTTGTCCCAGTCAAGTCTCAACAGAGGTCAACAACTTGAATGAAGCCCTTTGAGCATTTCTAAGTAATGGATTCATATAAACAGTCCCAGACCCCTGACCTGCAAAAACTGTGAAATCATAAACATTGTTGTCACTGCTGTATTTGTACCCTTTTCTTACAGTGACCAGACAAACAGTGACCCTTTCTCACGCCATACAACCTCTGAGCATAAAACAAAATGGAGGAAATGTTGCCCTAATTTGCATAGCTAATTAAGATTCATAGTCCAAACTGAGGCAATTCTTCTGACAAATATTTGAAAGAGAGTAGGATTGTATATTCTACTCCAATTGGTAAACTGAAAGTGAAATGTTCCTTCAAGAAGAAAGATAAGAACCTTGTAAATTCACGGAAAGAAAAATACTGATATAAAAAATAAGGGAAGTGTAGAAGATACAGGATTTAATAAACTACATTGATTTACGCTGTACTAGTTTACAAACCTTTCTAGACAGAAATTTGACCACATAAAATAGTCTTATTTATATAATGATTATACAGTAAGTAAAATTAATATATTTAGGGGCCAGCGTAATGGCTCAATTGGCTAATCCACCAGCATCAGGTATGGGATATGTGTTTGTCACTCTTTAACTTTGTGAAAGTATTTGCAGTTATTATTTTCACTATTATTGAATCATTTAACTATAACTGGAATACTGATTCAGTTCTAGCTGAGATATCTTAAACATAAAACAGCATAGAATATATTGAAAATGGGACATTTGGGATATTAAAAACTTTCCCCTAAGCATGCCACACACGATGTGGAAAGATCAGGTAAAGGATCAGTATAACAAGGAGTCGTACATAGGTCTGAACTATTTCAGAGAATCTGCATTTGAAGGCTGCTTTTGCTGGTTGGAGTTAATTAACTGAATCCGTATGAAATGTGGAGTTTCAGACAGGTTTTCCCTCCACACACATTTAACAACAAAAATAACCAATTACTCACAGAAATAGTAAGAACTAAACACTGTCATTCAAAGAGTGAGTCACTCAGTCTGAAGATATCCAGTAGCACACCAGACAGAGGGAACTATTCAAATGATAATAAATGTTTACTTCAATGAATTGCGGTTGCTGGGTTTGGATTTAATGGCTTTGAACAGTTCTTAACCACAGTTCGAGAAGATTCCATTAAATATTTCTTCTCTCATTCACAAAGTATGTTCTTGGCTTTAACTCTCCCATTGCAAAAAATCGGGGTCACCCAGGAAAGTCTCCCTCATCGCTCACTGCTGGTGGTTTAGGGAAGAGACAAATCCTCATTTTACTAGGAATATCACAATTTTCCCCAAGGCACCAGAGAAGTGTGCCTATTAACAAGCCATTTTTTGTGAATATGGTCCTTTAAACTTTACAAAGGACATTTGATTATCTATGTGTATATCCATATCTATACAATCAAAATCATATATGCAATCAAAAAATATATATGCAATTTTATATGCAAATATGTATATATTTATTTATGCAAATGCTTGTGCAAGAAGGTTGGGAAAGCTTCCTGGATGAGAAATGTGGATGTTCTGGAAGGGTGGTCCAGTCAGAGAGGGCAGGGAGACTCTTGCGTACCCGGGTACTCCTGTGTCTTACCATGTGTATGTCACCACTGGATATTCATCTGGATGCTTTATAATATTCTTTATGATTGAACAATATATCTGGTTTCCTGTGCTCTGTGAGCAGCTTCCACGAATCAACTGAACCTAAGTAAAAGGTACTGGAACCCCAGTGTGTGGTTTATGAATCAGAAACCGCGTTAGTGCCGTGGCAGATAATCTACTGCTTGTGCTAGTGTCTGAAGTGGAGGCAGAGCGAGCAGTCTTGCAGGGTGGAGTTCGCAACAGAAAGGATTTCGCCCTGTGCTCAGATGAGCAGCATCACAGATTAAATTGTGAGATGCTCCGTGGGTATCCACCAGCGAACTGCTTGGCATATGTGGCAAAAATGTCCCTTGCATCTGACGGCATAAGTGTTTTGTGTTGAACATATGAGTACAGTAGCAAAAAGTAATTTGTGTTTTTTTTTTCATTCACATGAATAGGTTTCCAGAGAACACCCTAATATACATTAACCAATCCAATCAAGACAATTACACAGAAATGTTTCATCACAGAAACACAATCAACTATGATCTTTTTCCAGCATATGTAGTTTTCTGTTCAATTCTTTCCATCATTAACACTTCTAGTCAGTTGCTGAATGTCAGACTGCCCGGCTGCCAGAAAAACAAAATAAAGTAAAAAAAAATTAAAAAATTAAAATCCAGGGTTTCCCTTCTTCAGCTAATTTTGTTGGCTAGCTGATTTGCACTTCCTGGGTGATTCCTCAGCTTAGAAGGCAGCATGAACTCTGGATGACCATGAAGCTCCTTGGCAAATGTAAGGTAGTTTACGTTTTGTGGTTATAAATTTAGGTCCAGGTCAGATTAGATGACATATTATCCCGTTTACTGCTCCAAACGGCCTTGGAAGCTAAGGAAGGAAAGGGCTGGAAAATGTGAAGCTTGTAGAGCCAGAAAATTTGAAAACTGTTTAGAGGAATGTGCTGACAGACTCTTCTGGGCAAAGACGTACTACACTTCTGTATTCCTTTTTAAGATTTATTTGTTTTAAAAGCAAAGTTCAGAGATAGAAAGAGAGAGAGAGGGAGAAATATCTTCTGTCTTCTGGTTCACACTGCAGCACATGGGAGCAGTGGCTGGGGCTGGTCCAGGCTGGAGCCAGGATCCAGGAGCTTTGTCTTCATAGAACCCTTTGAGCACAGGGGACCAAACACTCTCGGGCTGCCCTCTCTGCTGTTTTCCCAAACCATTAGCAGGTGGCTGTGTTGAAAGTGTAACAGAAAGGATGTGAACTGAGAGCTCTGCAGGATGCCACAGGCCATGGTGGCCTAAGCGGCTATGCCACAACGCCAGCCCCAATACTGTACTTTTATTGTGGGCTTTGGAAAGTTTCTTTCTTATTTTGCATTTATCTAATCCATAAGGGATGTACTTGGAGTGCTTCTATGTTCCCTGATCAGGTGAAGATGCAATCATGAAAGCCTGGTTTCAAACATATGATCATTCTGTTACGAAGCTTGAGATTATGGAGAAGTTACCACCTTGTCTCATATCAGCTGCATGAGATTCTACTTGAAAAATTATAAAATCAAAATAATAGCAAATATCAAGAATTATTGCTATAATTAACGGTGCTATTACTATTTTGTTTTTAACAATTTCTATTTTTATTTTTTATTACTATTATTACTAAATATTTATTTTTATTGGAAAGTCAGATTGACAGAGAGAAGGAGAGACATCCACTGGGTCACTCCCCAAGTGGCTGCCACGGCTGTAGCTAAGCCAAACTGAAGCTAGAAGCCAGGAGTTTCTTCCACGTCTCCCACACTGGTGCAGGGTCCCAAAGTTTTGGGCCGTCCTTGACTGCTTTCCCAGGCAACAAGCAGGGAGCTGGATATGAAGTGGAGCAGCCAGGACATGAACCAGGGCCCATATGGGATCCTGGCACATGCAAGGCAAGAAATTCAGCATTGGGCATTGATTTTATTATTTATTATTAAATGATTTTATTATTTTAACAATGTTTTGTTGTTTTTCAAAACTATTTTGGCAATATTCCACCTATGTCTAAACTGATTTTCATTTTTTCTAAGTGTGAAGTTATGCTCTCCGTCTCTGCTCTTGCTTTGTGTTACAACTAGCCTGGTTCCCACATCTTCCTGCCTATTCAACCTAAATCATGCTTTCTCTCTAAGCACTGCCAATGTATATGGATTTCAAGTAACTTAGCTGGACTCGTAGCTCATGTGAGCTGTCTCACATCCTAGCATCTTAAATGAATCTGTGTCATACTTCCTAGCGCTCCTTGACTGTGTGACAGCAGAAAGTCCATGACCTTGTTAAACCTCAGATTTCATATGAGGATTGTGTTGATCATGCAATCCCAGCCCAGCTCACAGTATGATGAAATGAATTTAAAAGCGCTTTTGTCAGAAATCAAAGGCAAAGGTTTGCAAGGCTTAAACATTGTTGCTTGTAAGTCTTTCTTTCAGGCTTTCAATGAACAGTCATAGCTAAGTCTTCATTATTTTCCAGAAAAAGTTGATTCTGCTCTGTCTTGATATTGAAATTGCCACAACTCACCTTTTCCCTTCCTTCCTCCTAGAGCGTGAATGTGCACAGGTGCTTACCTTCCCTTAAGTCTCGCTGTATCTTGGGTGATGACTTCTTTCCCATTGATAACCCGTGAACTTCTGCACCTTCCATGTTTACTCCTGAAGGGACTCTGTTCAATCAAACATTTCATTTCCCATTAAACGTGTTCACACGCAAAGATTACTTTTCTTAGGTTACCTATAATTCTACGTTGTATGTTTTGTTGTACATAGATTGATCAAACATTGAAGATGACATTAAATGTTCCTGCCTCGATGAAGGTCTTCTTCACTTCCTGTTTATGTAAGCGCCATTTCACTGTCATAGTCATCTTAGCAACCTTCCTTCCCTTAATCATATCCGTAGCTTCACCCCCTACATGTAAGACTTTAGTCTCAACAGAACAGGACAAAATTGTCGTGTGTATCTTTACCATATTCAGATATTAAGCCTTCAACATGGATAACATCAGTGAAAATGATTGAATGGAAATTGTTCTTCTATGCATTGTGTATATGAAAACACAACGTGGTTTCTCACTGTTCTGAGAAACAAGAAACAGGTTTGTGGCAGATTTCTCAAACACACAAAAGAAATCAGACTGTCCTTTCCACACACACAGATTAAGCAACTCCAAATATGCAAAAATGTTGCTTGATTTGTGTTGCAAGAGTAGGCTACCCCCGGATGGGGGGCTTGAATCCCAGTGAAAGATCACAAAGCAATGGGTAAGCTTTGGACACGCAACTCCCCTGTGATGATACAGAATAAATAGCTTGCCTTGTCATTGGCTGATTCCCATTCTGCAAATGAACATTCTGCATCATAGGATCACAAACACGTAACTCAAACAAGTCTACGTGTTTGGGTTATTGAAGATATCGAAGTTGATTATAAGCTTTTTGAAAAATGAGGTCTCTTCATTTCTGAAATTGCTCCTGGTAACCAATATTTTAAATTATAGTATGATCTTCTGTATATCTTAAATTTGAAGAAATATAATATGGGAATTCACCATCAAAAATAAAATTTCATGATTTTTTTTAACATTAGAACGTGAAAATCATCATCCGATTTTGTTTGATCTGGAAATCCTAGAATCTCAGCAAGTCAGAGATCACCCGAGTCATCCTTTTCAGTTGAGGAGCAAATATGAAACTGGAAAAGGAAGATTAAATTATATAACACAAAACTGTTGGTAAGAGATGGGACCAGGATCAATAACATAATTTGTCGCTCAAAAATGTTTAACCTGAATCATTTTTCCCCAGTTTCAGAAGCTCTTTACAATTTGTTCTGTCTGTGAATATTTTTCCTCCAAAAGAGTGAAAGATTTTTGTGCTGACTTAGCGAACTCACCGATTCTCATCCTGGCGCCCACCGTATCTGTTCCAATAATTCTGTTTAAATTAAGAAGAAAGTTATACTTTTATCATGAAAATACAGATATGATATACAATTTGGAAATACATTATGTAACACTCAAAAATTCTAAAATATTAGGAAATTTGCATAGTGCATAAAGGTGAAACATATCTTTTATTAAAAAAATCAATAAACATGATGGTTCAGATTGGCACAGTCCTATCAAAGACAAAAATGGAGAATGAGTAAATTAAAAAAAACAGACGTGAAGTTAGCCTCACCATTCAGATTTCTGTCAAAGAAAGTAACAGAAATATGGCACCAGTGACACTTAAAGCACAGTCAGCCTGCATATTTTATGTTCATGAATATAACTAATTGTAAAAATATGGCTTGATTACTCAGCTACTCCATATTGTGACACTAAGTGTAATTCAGGCATTTTCTAGAACCTCTGGGAGCAAGATGTAAGGCCATTATAAATATGTTAGTAGTCACATTAGGAATATTTCATTGAAATTAATCTGATTTTTAAAATATCTTCAAGTCAACATAGTATAAGTAAAAAAGAACTGAAAATATTGAAAATAAGACATGTTACATATAATAATTGTAAAAGCATATTAACATGTACTTTATATAAATAACAGTTTTAGTAGTAACCAAAAGATAAATGAATAAAGACCATGGTCAGGCATTTTAAAGGAGGGAGAAAATTATTAATAGGCTAAACAATTATTTTTACTGATCATCAAGTGAATGCAAGTGAAACAATGATGATGCACATAAAACATAAGCAAAAAATGCTGTTTCTCATTGCTGATAATTTGTGTTTAGCTGATACTTTTATGCATTACTAAGAACAGCAAACGTATCAGTAAAGCTGCTTGGAAAACCAATTTAATTTAAAGAAATCCAAGACCTTTGATGGCAGACTAATCTCACTCCTGGGAATTTATCCTAAGGATATAGTTGGATAGAGAGAATTGCCTAAAGCATTGGGCAAGGCAAAAGTAAAACAGAACTAAATCAAGAGTCTAGCAGCCGGAGAAGGCCATTTAGGTATCATACATTAATTCTATATATGTAGCTAAAATGATTTTAAAGGATATGCAAATATAGAAATCATTTATCTTGATCTTCTTAAATAAAATCAGCACACAAATCTATTTGCCTGTAATACCAGTTTTATAAAAATGTATCTTCTTGGGCCCGGCACAGTGGCATAGTGGCTAATGTCCTCGCCTTGATTGCTCCAGGATCCCTCATGGGCGCCGGTTCTAATCCCAGCAGCTCCACTTCCCATCCAGCTCCCTGCTTGTGGCCTGGGACAGCAGTTGAGGACGGCCCAAAGCTTTGGGATTCTGCATCTTTGTGGGAGACCTGGAAGAAGTTCTGGCTCCTGGCTTTGGATTGGCACAGTGCCTGCCATTGTGGTCACTTGGGGAGTATATCATCGGATGGAAGATCTTCCTCTCTGTCTCTCCTCCTCTCTGTATACTTCACTTTCCAATAAAAATAAAAATGAATCTTTAAAGAAAATGTATCTTCGTGTAAACAATGAAAAGTAAACAATATGGAAAGGTTGAAAAAACCAGCAACATACATGGTAGAATTATGCTGTATTTTTTAAGCCTCCTTAATGTTGAGGTCATAAACAAACATTAGGAGAAATTATGAAATATCAAATATCTGGAGAGAGAAAGAATCCTGAGGCAAAATATTTACATACACAATACTTCTACCAAAACTATTTGCTTTTGACCTTGGACTTCAGTAATGTAGAAATCTAAGAAAGTCTTTAACCCCAATCTGCAACTCAGGAAGGGGATTAGAAACCTTAACACATGGTGTTGCGAAATTAAAACATCAACAAGACTGGGTTGTTCTGTTACTAAACTTTTTTTTTTTTCTTACCGGTTCAGCGTATGAAAACCCCAGACCTTCTGCAGCTGACTTTATCAGTTCAGATTCAAGTTTATGACGTTTCACAAACATTGCTAAATCCTAGACAAAGAAATGGGCAAAGAAAGACAGAGAGAAGGACCAAGAGGAAGCAAAGCCAATTGACGGGAGGCAGACAAGAAGACAGGGAGGAAATGAGAAAGAAAGAAAGGCAAGTAGGAAGAGAGAAAGGAAGAAAATATGTATTTAAATAATATATAGGAGGTATGATAAATATGAAAGTGTGAATATTCTTCATGACATTACAAATCAGTTAAGATAAATATTCAGGGCTTCAGAAAAGTACCACATCTACTTATTATTATAAGACAACAAAAGTGAAAATGGCAAAATGAATCATGTTTGAAAGAATTTAGTTCCATAAACTTAGGAAAACTGGTAGATGTACTTTAAAAATTTTTTAAATTTTTCATGATACAGTTTTGCATGTATATGGGATTCTCCCTCTCCCTCCCCTTTCTCCCTCCCGTCTCCCCCTTCCCCATTTCCCCCAAGGTATCACAGTACTATAGCCCCGTAGTGACATTTACAAGTTTAAGTTTCTGCTGTTTAAATGTGTCATGGCACAACAGGTATAGACAGAGTAGAAAATCTAGTGTTGTACTGTAAAGGGCTATTTAAATGTTTCCCTGGGAGTCCTACTTTTATTTGGGAGTAAAGATGAATACTGCAATGTATATTTATATTTATACATGCTAGTCTCCATTATATAGCTCATCCATTGAGATTATGTGAATACCTAATTACTTTTTATCCATTTATTTTGTACTTCATATGAAGGCGATCTTATTATATCAGAAAGAACACAAGATCTTTGTTTTTTTGGGGACTGGTTTACTTATAATGGTGTGCAATTGGAACCACTTTGTTGCAAACTGTAAGATTTCTTTTATTTCTATAGGTATAGAGTATACCACAGAGTAGATGTAACATGGTTTGTCTTTTTCACCTGTTGCTGCGTATCGGGCTGGTTTCCATGTTTTTGCTATTGTGGATGGTGCTGCTATACACTGTAGGGTTGAGGTTGCTTTCTCCCTTTCCCAGAGCACATGCACAGCTTCTCCTCAGAACGTGAGTCTCACCTCTCTGGCCTCAATGGATCCTGGGTCAAGGCCATCATCCAACAGACCCTCATAGTACTCTACATTGTCGAGGACGTCCTCATCACCCGGGTGGAGCAGGAGGTAGGCTTTGGCACATTCCAAGGCTTTCACATACTCACCAACTGAAAGACCAAACAGTTGCAACAACAGAATCAGCCAAGAGGATTTTAAAAGTAGACATCAATATGTCTTTAGAGTTACTATTGACCATCAGGAGGAAGGACAGTAGACTGAGCCTGAGCAGTGGAAGGAAAAACAGTCCCAACAGACAGACATGGCTTCAGGTTTTCAAAGGGGATTATCTTTAGCACGCTGTGACACTAGACATATTTGCATGAACCGTTAACTCTTCCTATCAAAAATTGCTTGGTGACGATGTTTATTGACAACTGAGTAAACAGAGAAAAACAACAGGACTATAAGAGTGAATTCTGATGTTTTTGTCATTTTGGAATAAAAAAGCATCCTGAAAATGATCTACAACAACAGTTGTATCATCTGATGTGAGTGACAAGATGTGTTAAAAGGTTATTTCTCTTCGCTGTAAAGCTTCTGGCCAACTGGTTCCATTAATGCAAGTCCTTCCGGCAAATGGAGATATATATATAGTCAGAGATGACTCTGGGTTTCTAAGAAGGTGAATCAAAATTAGCAAATCTCTTAAGTCTTTTTGATTCACTGCGGAGTACTTGGATAAGTGATGTATTAACGCCACCAATTTGAGGATAGGTTCTTCTTAATTTTGTAAAGGAAAATGATTTTCCAAAGTAGCTTCAAAATATTAGCTTGATATATTTTTGCATTATTATTAACTAAAAGAGAAGCATGCTATTTACCATTAACATTTTTACATGATAATATAATAAGAAAAAAAATAAACCAGGCAATATAACCTACGAATAATCTAAGTGCCTTGTCCCAAGATGAAGCATGATGATGATGTTAGAAAATATTTTAGCAGTCCTGATTTTACAAATTGGTTTTAAATAGGAGAAAAGATAATTTTATCTCTCTATCAAAAATATAATATAGGCCCGGCATGATAGCCTAGTGGCTAAACTCCTAGCGTTGTATGCACCAGGATCCCATATGAGTGTCAGTTACCACCCCAACTGCTCCATTTCCCTTCCAGCTCCCTGCTTGTGGCCTGGGGAAGCAGTAGAGGATGACCAAAGCCTTGGGACCCTGCACCTGCATGGGAGACCTGGAAGAAGCTCCTGGCTCTTGACAGGCTCAGCTCTAGGCTTTGTAACCACCTGGGAAGTGAACCAGTGGATGGAAGACATTTCTCTTTGTCTCTCCTTCTCTCTGTAAAGCTGATTTTCCAATAAAAATAAATAAATCTTTAAAATATATACATATATAAAATATACATGGAAACTGTATTGAAATAATTATTTTTACCTATAGAAAGGAAATATGAGAAAACTTAAGAATCTGTTCTGTTGAAAAATGGGAAATACATTTCATATAGGGCAATGTGGAAAAATCTGTCAAAATTACAAAGAAAGAACAGGTGTTTGGTACACCAATTAAGCTGACACTTTAGACACACACATCCTTATCTGAGGATCTGGATTTGAATCCTAACTCCATGCTAATGGTCACCCTGGGATACAGCACGGCTCAAAGACTGGAGCCCTTGCCATCCATGTAAGAGACCCAGACTGACTCCAGGTTCTGGCATCTGCCTGGGTCAAATGGAGGATCTCTCTATCTCTGTCTTTCCAATACAAGAAAATCATTTCAAAAATAACAAATGAATAAGCCTTTTGGCTGAACAACTGTATGACATGTTCTGTGCAAGAGAACATAAGTTTGTGCATGTTAAGTATTATAAGGAGAAAAAATAAATCACATTCTAGTGCATGCAATTAAATAATCCCAATTATTTAGTCTTTGAATCCTGCAACTGTGCATAATTCTAAAATCATAAATTCTAAAATGTTTAATTTTCAGACAATAATTGGCGCATTAACTTGTACATTTTGCCTACCAGTATTTCACCTGTTCTTGTTCTGAAGGCAGTAATGAAAAATAATAAATAATATATGTACTGCTCCCCCATCCCATGGCTTTGATGCCAACCTGAAGAAAGCGAAGACTAAATCATAGTGTCGAAATGTCAGTACCCCTGAAAAATAAGCCCCTACTGACTTCACGGATGATACACACTTTACCTCGATAGTAGGCAAACTGCAGGTAATCATAATGCAGAGGAAGGAAGTTCTCAATCGGCGAGAGGCGCCCAGGACGGGTGGCGAGTTCCCTCACACATTCATGTTGACAAACCAGTACCTGCATGTAGTGATCTGGAAAACAAGAGTCCAGCGGGATCTCATTCAACTCTGCTGAAAACTCACATTTCAAGTCAAGGTCAAGTTGCAGGAGACATCCCTAACCTTACCTCACTGTGTGAACCCAAAACCTTTTCATAGGACAAGCAAATGAAACCTCCTTGCCAGTGAACAAAGATTCAAAGTTCCCGTGGCTCATGGTGCTTTCTCTGTACTGCAGTCTCCTCCTGTCGTCCCATCTCTGTGCTAATCCTTCTGAAAGTGCTGCACTAGTTCACTGCACACACACTCAGCTGAATGCTGAGGTTCTGACTTAACAACTCCGGGGCCTCTCTTTGGATATCTGAGATAGTCTGAGGTGTCTTAGAATTTGAACCAGAAGTTCCTACCGTGGTGATGTTCACAAACAGTTCACTGAAAGAATCCACTATGTACATGGAGAATATGTGATGGAAAACAAAGCAGAAATGTCCCGTTTTCTGTTAGCATTTGCAAGCCAAATTGTCCTATGGGGGGAAAACAGCATTTCTTCTATTGATCAGCATTCTTTTCTACTTAGTTATAAGTATCACCTGGACATGCTGTATTCTAGCCACAACGTTCTTGTCTACCACCTGAACACTGTATATGCTAGTAACAATTTTTTCTGCTCTTACTCAGGGACTGGTGAAACAGGAGGAAGGATGAAATCCAAAATCTTCAAAAGAATTTCCTCTTCCTCTTTTTTTTTTTTCTTTGCTTCCCTTTCTGCTAGTTCCACTTTTCTTGCTTGCCAACAAGGCGAGGGTGGTGAAGGGCAGCCATTTTCATGACCCTTTCCTGCCGATCCGCTGTCTCCTCAAAGCATGAGCAGGGAAAGACTGAGAGGCTGAGTCTCAGAGAAGCAAATGCTCAGTGAAGGCAGCAGCCATCTTTCCCACAATGAGAATGCTTTTCTCACATTGATGCTGAACAGATTCCCTCAAGGATGATGACAGACTCTCTGCACGTCATGGCTCTACAATTTAACTTACAACAACTGCCCTCCGTCAAAAGGGTCTCTGTTAGTCCATGTCCAGCTTGGATCCTGATGATCTTGCAGAAGTAACACAAAATACAACTGTGCCGCTTTTTCACACCCTGGCTAACACAACCCTATGGAACACAGCCAAAAGAACCCATCAAGTCCATTTGTTACCAACCTCAATGGGAGACTGTGAAGGGAAAAATATGTTGTATTTATTTGATTAGCATACTTGAAATAAATAGAAGGGAGGAAGAAAATCAACAATCTTCAACTGTTTTCTCATATTTAACTAAAAAGTTGCATGCCTTATTAACTTTTTTTTTTTTTTTTCTTGAGAGAGAATGCTGGTTCACTTCCCCAAATTCTTGGCAATGCTCGGACCTGGGCCGAGCTGGTGCCGGGGGGACATCAGAAACTCAACTTGGATCTCAAGGAGATGGCGGGGACACAATTCTTTGGGTCATCACTTGCTGTTTCCAAGGGTGCATACTGAGTGGAATCTGGAATCTGAAGTGGAGTCAGAACTGGAACTGACACACCTTAGAGAAGGACTCTACTGCCCCAACTGGCTGCTTGAGCACTAGCTCAAATTTCTGCCCCTGTATTTCTTTTAATGTACATTCATCTAATTCCAAACAACAAGGTCAAATAAAAGATTAGAGACAGCCTCCAAGAACTCATTCTGAATGAAATATTTTTCAAAGCAAAATATAAATTGCAACAAAATAAGGGTAACATAGCAACATCATTTAGGGCTCTATCAAGCAGGGCTAATAAGAAATAACTGCATTTCGGAATCATCCGTATTTTTCTTCAGCGTTTACTGTCTCCTCTAATTCAAAAGTTCTCAAGTGTTCCAGTTTTTTAATACATTCAATATTTTAAGTTCCTGTTTTACTTCTAATTTAGAATGATTTCAACAAGAAAAGATTCAAATAATTAGAGCTGTCATTTTATTTCTTATTGGCTTTTTTTTTCAAACGTTTTCCATCTCAAATGGCACTGTGCAATTAACATACTTTATTAAGTTTGAGATCCAAGACACTGTGTGGGAATACTTACATTAAATTCTCTTCACATAATAACTTTGATTTGTTCAAATTCCCAAGGCTTACTACGTTTTTAATCATTGACAATACTTTATTTAGATTTCAGGGAATGTGACCCATTTATTTTAAAGCATGTTCTTTGATTGAAAACTGTAGAATTGGTGGTGATAATTTTGTTTACAATGAAAGAACCATGCCAATGATTCAATGGGCTAATCCTCCACCTTCCAGCACTTGGGTGCATCATGGGCACTGATTTGTGTCCCAGCTGCTCCATTTTTGATTCAGCTCACAGCTTCTGGCCTGGGCAGGCAGCTGATGATGGCCCACTCCCATTGGGACGCTGGGCCCACAAGGGAAACTCAGAAGAAGCTTCTGCTTCTTGATTTTGGACCAGCTCAGCTCTGGGGCGAGGGTGGGGGTGAACCAGAAGATGAGAGAATTTCCCTGTCTCTTCTCTCTGTGTAAATCTGCCATTCAAATAAAAATAAATACATCTTTAAAAAGAAGGAATTAAAGAGCCAAAATTTAGGACTTCTGTGTTTTTTTTTTTTTTTTTTTTTTAGCAGCAACCACTATGCCCTGGAGTATTCTTTATTATTATTATTATTATTATTTTATATTGGAAAGGCGGATATACAGAGAGGAGAGACAGAGAGGAAGATCTTCCGTCCCATGATTCACTCCCCAAGTGAGCGCAACGGGCCGATATTATGCCGATCCAAAGCCAGGAGCCTCTTCCTGGTCTCCCACGCGGGTACAGGTTCCCAAAGCTTTGGGCCGTCCTCGACTGCTTTCCTGGGCCACAGGCAGGGAGCTGGAAGGGAAGTGGGGCTGCCGGGATTAGAATCGGCGCCCATATGGGATCCCGGGCGTGCAAGGCGAGGACCTTAACCACTTGTGCCACCGTGCCGGGCCCATGGAGTATTCTTTAACAAGTCAAAACATGAGAATCTGTGGGAAATTGTCAGTCAATTTCCCTTACTCATATCTAGAACATTATCTAAAAACTGTTTTGTGGACACAGTTAGAGGCACATGTACATGTATGGAGGCAGGGCACATACACGCATAAAACTAACACCTGGTAAAACATTATAACAGAAACTCCTGCCATGCCTCCACCTCCCCTCCCCAAATATACAGATATACTCAGCTCTTAAAATAAAAAAAAAAAAAAGAAAAGATTGTCAATCAAATGAATCATGCTTACAAGAATACAAATAGCTCTGGCAGAAGCCTAGGAAAGTAATTGCCTTGAAGGGAGAGTCTTCAATAACTTAGATAGCTGCACTGATTAGGGGTGAATTGAGTTTATTTGGGGTTATTAATTATGTACAAAGTTGGGCCTTGATGTACTAATTTTGGGTCCACTTTCTAGTCTGATTTTTAAGTTTATGTATTTACTTGAGAAACAGACAATGAAAGAGGGATCTCTCCTTTAATAGACCACCTTGCAAATGCTCCCAACAACCAGAGCTGATACTGGGAGCTGAGAGCTTTATTCCAGTCTCCCACGTGGACTACCAGCAATAAATGCTGGAGTCATCACTGCTGCCCCCTGGTGTCTAAAGTAGAAGGAAGCTGGAGTCAGGAGCTGGACACTAAGTGTCAATCCCAGTCAATGCGGGACATAGGCATCCAAAAAATAGTCTGAACTACCTGGCTAAACATCTATTTCTCCTAGCTTAAATTTCGTTATTCCTCCATTGTCCTCCATGCAAACAATTTACACCCACAATTAGACAGGCATGTAGTAGAATTAACCTCTTTTATCTCTACAATATGACTGAGACTGATGAGGATGAATATGTCATTTATTTTATTCATTCATTCATCCACATTTTTAAAAAGATTTATTTTCTATTGAAAAGGCAGATTTACAGAGATAGGGAGAAACAGAGAGAAACATGTTCCATTGGCTAGTCATTCCACAAGTGGCCATAATGGCCAGAGCTGAGCCAGCTGAAGCCAAGAGCCAGGAGCTTCTTCTGGGTCTCTGATGTGGGAACAGAGTCCCAAGACTTTGGGCCATCTGTTACTGCTTCCCTGGTCACAAGCAGGAAGCTGGATCAGAAGTGGAGCAGTTGGGATGGGAACCGGGGCCCATATGGGATCCCAGCAGTTGCAAGGCTAGGATTTTAGTTGCTATGCTATCATGTCAAGCCCAGTGTACATATTCATATACTCAATGTTTTATAAACACCTGCTATTTTTCAGTCGCTACACTTAAACACTGAGGATTGAGCACTGAAGAAGTCATAGCTTTAGCTAAGGAATGGAGGAAAATATTTTGAAGGTCTATACATGGAAATTAGCATGACCTATCCAAAACATTCAAAGAAGGACAATAGGAATGGATTAGAGAGACAGCAAAAGCAGGGAAGAGAAAGAGAGAGAAAGAGAGAAAAGAAGAAGGAGGAGGGGGAGGGAAGGAGATAAGAATGAAGACATAAAATAGTTAATCATGAAAATCTTTATTAACAGGCTTATTCTAAGTGGTAGTTAAGTCACTGGGCTGATTTAAGCACAGTTGTAACCAGAATTTTGTTTTTAACAGACTGATTTGTTTTCAGAGCAAAATGTGATCATGACATGCAAAAGCAAAAATGTGATCACCATAGCTTAGTTAACAAAAATAAGTGAGATTTAAGCCAAGGTTTTAGCAAAAGGAGTGGAGGCAGCAAAGAAATGTTATGTGCTTTTAGGAGGTGGCATCTATCAAAGGTTGGTCACAAATCAAAGGTCAGTAGGAACTGAAGGAAATGATGAATTGAAAAATAGCTCCCTGGGATTCGATTGTGCTACTGGAGGAGGTAGGAAACCCCTAACAGCATTTCTGTGAGCACATAAAACTAAACAGTTATACAAACACAGCACACACACAAACACACTGGAACACTTTACTTGCTCCATTAATGTTTTAGATATTGATAATTAAACAAAGTAATCTTGGCCCATTGAAACATTTTGTCGGTCCTGGAAGTATGGGTTCTAGATTCAGAGAAGTTTAGCTTGATTACCAACTTCATTTTATAACAATACTTAAACTTCCCAAGATGTGACATTCATCATTCAAAAAGGGCACGGAAGAGTAAAAAGCAATATCTGGCTAGCAAGAGTTATTTAGAGGATTAAAATAGACATAAATCAGAAAAGCACTTTGTCTACTGCAGTTACCAGAAATATTTGGCATTATTATTATAACTATTAACTAAGTAAACTCCTACTACAAAAAATAACTTACAGGATCGCCTTATATATGAAGGCATTAACTGCCTGCCCATAAGGTATTTTGCAATACTTTCCATTTGTGCTTGGTATGTCTACTTAGTTTTTTAGATAAATCTGTATATTTCATATCTTAAATTCTATGTTTTCATTTCATTGTTCTTGCCTTTTTCCATTTAGATTTTCATCTCTTAAAATTATATCAATATTTTCCTACCTTATTTCTTTAAAGATTCATTTATTTTTATTGGAAAGGCAGGTATACAGAGAGGAGAGACAGAGAGGAAGATCTTCCATCTGATGGTTCACTCCCCAAGCTGTCACAATGGCTGGAACTGAGCCAATCCGAAGCCAGGAGCCAGAAGCCCTTCTGGGTCTCCCACGCAAGTGCAAGGTCTCAAGGTTTTGGGCTGTCTTAGACTGCATTCCCAGGCCACAAGCAGGGAGCTGGATGGGAAGCGGGGCCGCTGGATTAGAACCGGCGCTTCTACCTTATTCTAACAGCTTTATTTTCCCCCTCTTATGTTTTCTACAAATAAGAATCACTTTCAAGTACGTTGGCCTGGTTTGAACCTCAGCTAGTTCCACTAATCCAGCTTCCCACTAATATGTATGGTAAAATATAGTAGATAATGACTCAAATGTGTGTCTCTGTGACTCAAGTAGGAGACCAAGATCGGGTGCTGCTGGACTCACTGCTTAAGCCTGGGCCAGCCCTGCTGGTGTGGACTTTTGGGAAGGAGTTCCTAGGAGATAGGAGGCCTCTTATTTCTCTCTCTCTGTCTCTCTTTCTCTGCTTTATAATAAAAGAAAAACACAATAACAACAATCAAAAAGGACTTCCAAGTAAGGTACTATGTACCCTTATAATGGAATACTACCCAGCCATTAAATGCAATGATGTGGATGTAAATATACTTACATTAGAAGAACTCCACAACATGATGTTAAGCATGAAGTAAAACAAAAGTAAAACACAGTAAAAAAAAAAACCCCAGTATTTGTAGTATCACTCTATTTTTGTAGAAATGAAATAATAATTATAAATAAACATATACATATTTAAATATGTATCTAAAAAGATTCAGAAGGAGGGTTACTGAAATTTTAGCTATATACATTTATTCAGAAGTAAGGGGTGATATACATTTAAAAGTCTCTGCTGTTAAAATATTTTTAGAAATTGCATGTTGGAGTCTTATCATCAGAAGATAAATAAAAGGGTACAACCACTTTACCTGCAATGGCTTCATAAAGACCAGCTTTGTACCCTAAATACTCATATTCTTCAAATCTCTGAGGCCCTTCACATAGCGTCCGGCACTCTGCATCTTCAATAAAATATTCTCTTAGGGCTTGTTCAAAATATTTGATGGCTACCTCAAACTCATCACTCTCATAATGTTTAACTGCTGCACTGTAGCTCTCCTGCGAAGAGAGGGAAAAAAAAAAGGATTTGCAAAATGTAAGCTAGAGGTAGCTAGAGTAAGTTTCAGAATCTGCGGGAAGGGCAGAGAAGGGCTGCCCTGGCTCATCAAGTGTCTGTTCGACTTCTAACAATTCTAAGCGAGAGGGGGCTTATTGAATGAGAAGACTGGTGTAGCACCCATTGATCTCATTTTCTTCCTGAATGTACACACTGTATTTTCTAATTCCTCTGCTAAGAGGTCAGGCCATGTAACAAGTGTGGCAAAACAAAGGTGGGAGAAAGTGTCATCTAATCCCAGGCTTTGCCCAATTTAGAAAGAAAGAGTCATGCAAATAAAAGCATCCTCTTTTCCTTCTCAGCAGAGATTCTAGGAGGAATGCATTAAGAAGGCTGATATGGAAATTGAAAGTAGCCTTTTCAAGAAACATTTCATCTACAGAATTAAGCGATGTTTTGGAAAGATGGTTTGATAAATGCAGACATAACAGGCAAAGCACTGGACTGGAATGGGAAGTCAGTACGTGTCTTTGTAAAGCACTCCTGGCTTCACCTCCTAAGTGTGACACAAATACTCTGGCCAGGAGCTGACGCTCTGAAAGTGCTCCGGATACATGCATGATACTGTCGTCTTCGTGATAGTGAAAATTTTTGTCAGTCAGTTTTTAAAATTTTGAAGTTTTTGTAATTTTAACTTTCAACTGTCACTAAATCTTTTCTTTAAAATTCACCTGTTCTTCTTAATCCTGACAATTTTAATATTTCATCAGGAATCTAAAAAACGACAAAGATATTACTGCTACTGGAAGTAGAAAATGAGTTTGTGGCCCTGTTAGCTATTGTCACAGTTAAGTCAAACTTAGGAGCGCTTAGCTGCACACACGGAGGACAGTGGCAGGAGAGCTTACCAGGTGTGGTCTGGCTTCCCGATCTGTCAGCTGCAGCGCTTCAACACCAGCCATCATTCTGTAATTCTCAATGTCCTGCTGCATTTCCATATGTTCAGGGTTGGCCATGAAAAATGTGTGAGCTGCTTCCATTGCTTTGTCCAGCTGGTTAAGCTGGAGAGAGAGAATTAGATAAAGGTGATTATTTCCAAACAAGGTTCAAAAAGCAAGAGATCGGCCCAAAGCTCACAGTTTGAAATTCGGAATTCAGGTTTATATTAGGATATGATAGCATGGTACTACCGACAGTCTGTGGGAAAATGAAATGAAAAGATAAGCTTATTGTGGTGTTAAAAAAATCTAATCTATACATAATACTTTCCACAACACACTTTCCTTTTGTCTTTTTTGATTTTGAATTTTATGCTACAGTTCCATAGGGTCTGGGATTTTCCTACCCATCCCCAAATTCCCATCCCCAACTGATTTTCCTTGTGTTATTACAATGGTATAGTCCTTCATAAGCAGTCATAAGTCCATTGATCCGTTACCTAACTGTGCCCTAACATTGCTGATACAGACAATGTCAGACAGTCTAACATCCATTAACATATTTCCAACAGTTTTCTTCTTCATTTTTTACCCACATGTCATTTGTTCCGTGGTGTGCGTTTCAACTGCATGGTGCTGTAAATTTTGTTTGTTTTAATTTCGTGCCTGTTGTTGACTTTGCTTCATGGTTTCTCATTTAAGGGAATGCATGGCGACAGCAATAATAGAGACTATCATATTCAGATGTGAGGATACAATGCAGTGTGCATCCTTACCGCCAAATCCAAGATGGACTCGCAATACACTTCAAAAATTACTTCTCATTTACTTGAAGACAGAGATAAAGAGAACAGAGAGAGGAAAGCAGAGAACAAGATGTGAATAAAGACATTTCCAAACGTTGGCGACATTTAGGTTTGGGCTAAACCAGAGTTAGAAACCAATGTGGTAGCCCATGTGCGTGTCAAGAACTCCCACACTGAAGTCATCTTTTGTTGCTTTCCTGGCAGGAGCAGGAAGCTTGCTTGGAAGCAGAATAGCTGAGACTTGAACCAGAGGAACTCATACCAATATGAGACGCAGGGATCCCAAACAGCGACACTCTAAGACATCCACGGAAGCTTGAAGACTTTTCACACGGATAGATTTCAGAATCTGTCTTCACCAAAGCAAAATCTTCCAGTCTCATTTTGCACAACATTCTAATGTTCTCCCACGTGTATGTAAGCTGGACTCTTTAGTTACGGATAAAACGAGTAAACTGGCTTTGTTTCAATTTTTCCCTTTTGCCTTTTTCTTGGAAATTGATTCTATGTGTTTCTGTTCTACAACATTTCAAAACAAAGAGCTACCAGACCTACGGATCGCCAGTTCATACTTAAACATTTTTGTCAAGTATTTTCCTTTTATTTTTGTTCGTTTTACCTTTTATCATGAGACTGGACATGAAATAAACATTTGACTTCCCAAAGGTTGGAATTTAGTATACTTCTCCTTCCTTCCAATTGCCTGATTTTTTAAATTTATAAATAAATAAAATATATAAATAAAGCTAGAACATAAATACATTAAAAAATCTTGAATGTTTTCTTCCAAACTCAATATTTTGATACTAGTTAATATAAAATAAAGACTTATCAATAATCACCACACTGACAGTGATATTTTTACGACCCCATTTACTGCTCTATTCTCAATGAAAAAAGGCACAGAATGTTTTTAGTAAAATGGAAAATGAAAGACAATGCATTCAGTTTAAGATATCTGACATATGCTTTGACCAGGGGAATGGCATAGACAGATCTGTTTTTCTCCAATCATAAAATTGGATATTTCTACTAGTAGTCTATTTCATAGTAAAATTCAAAATATGTGTGACATATTTAAGTACATAATAAAGAAATGAAAATTCGGGCCAATCAATATTTCAGGGCTAGGGGCCTGACATGGTAGCCTAGCAGCTAAAGTCCTCGCCTTAAACGCGCCAGGATCCCATATGGGAGCCAGTTTACATTCCAGAGGCCCCACTTTCCTTCCAGCTCCCTGCTTGTGGCCTGGGAAAGCAGTCAAGGATGGCCCAACGCCTTAGGACCCTGTACTATGTGGGAGACCTGGAAGAGATTCCTGGCTCCTGGCTTTAGATCCGCTCAGCTCCTGCCATTGCGGCTACTTGGAAAGTGAATCAACACATGGAAGATCTTCCTCTCTGTCTCTCCTCCTTTCTATATATCTGACTTACCAAAAAACAAAACAAAACAAGACAAAAACAAATAAATAAAACCTTTAAAAATACATATTTCAGGACTAAATCCTTGTTTTGTTCCCCAGGATACCATATGAGCGCCAGTTTGTATCGCACCTGCTCCACTTCTCCAGCTCCCTGCTTGTGACCTGGAAACGCAAGGGAGGATGGCCCAAAGCCCTGGGCCACTGCATCCGCCTGGGAGATCTGGAGGGAGCTCCTGATTCTTGACTCTGGATTAGCTCAGCTTTTGCCACTGTGGCCACTTGCGGAGCAAACGTGTATGGAAGATCTTTCTGTCTCTGTGAATCTAACTTTCCAGTAAAAGCAAATTAATCCTTAAAAGAAATGACCTAATGGGATATGACATTCAACTTGGTCTTCCTATGATAGTCTTGCCTCTAAAATACTAAAATATATTACAATGTAGTAAGTTCACTTCCCTGCTCACTGCTGTCTGGTGTTATACAAAGGGTCAGTTCTCATCTGAGAAAATTCAAACTGCTGTGTTTTAAGACCTGTCTTCCTCCACTGTGGCTCTTGCCAGTGAAACACTCCTTTCAGCACAGACCCTGTGATGGCTCTCCTGCCCTAAATGCCGCCTCCGATCAGTTCTTGTCACTTTACTTTTGACCTCAATTCTGTGTGACCAGGATAACTTTTATTGTCAAAGTTAATGATTTTGGATCTGGCTTTTCTCTAAACTGTAATTTTTCACATTATCTTATATACCAACACAAATAAATACAAAATGCATATATATCTGCATGGTGATAATTATATTGACCTAGGAGGAAGAGATTAGGTTGTAAATCATGGTGGAGCCTCATTTATTAGTCTGTTAAACCTTTAAAAATTGGTTTAACCATTTTCATTTCAGTTCTTCCTTAAGAAAAACTTTTCATAAACTCTATGTCATGATCTGCCACATAGGAATATGGAAGGATTAAACTGTGTAATATACATTCATATATTTATATTTATATTTATTCAATTGAGTAATGTATACTTATATACACTGTATTACTTAAGCAATAGAAAGCAATTTATAAATTCTCTATACATTTTAGTGATTTTAATATGCTCCCATTAATGAGGAGCAAACTTTATAACATGCATTAGCACATGATTTATGTGGGTATAGCAGGTATTTGTAGTTGGCTAAAACTGTCTCCATGTTTATAGTTAGACCATAGTTATGATCAAGCCATATTAGCACTGACATACTCCAGTTTTATAGCAGCAGATGTTAAAGTTGATGAATGCAAATAAATATTTATGTTCTTCATTTTCCTGTATTTGTGCCTTGGATCAGGCAATGAAACACTACATTTTCTAAGGGACACTATTTCCTTCCTAGACCTGCATTTACGCCTGACAGTAATTCCTTATCCTTATTAGACTATTGCCATCTATCAAACAAGGTTACTTCAAAAATCATAGAAAAGTTAAAGCATAAATCCATGTTGACACAAAGATTGAAGTCTATACATTGTTATTCCTCATAATATGTGTTTATTATAAACTTTCTGATGCCATGTTCTTGTAATCTATCACATTGAATGAATTTGAGTAGATTTGTTTCTCTTTCAGTTGGAGCTGTCTGAATATGGATCATTTATTTCACTTACCTCTCTGTTGAATCTGCATTTACAATCCATGATGTCTATGACTTATCTAAGAGTGAATTAACTTGTATGAATTGCAAGTTAAAAGGAGGAGTCATGTGTGTGTTCCTAGTAAACTACAGAATGCTAAAAGGATGCCATTGCAATGAAAATGTCTCTGAAGTCATCTTTCATACCAACAATTCCTAATACTGATTATCACAGATGAATATGACTCAGTATTTCTTGAAACTGTTAGCCAATTTTAATTTTTTTATTTTACTATGAAAGAAAGAGACTGTTTATCACAGTTGAATGAGACTGAGATTTTTGAAACTGTTAGTCATTTTTTAATTTTTGTTTTTATTCCGAAAGGAAGTAAGAGACAAATACTTGCTGTAACGGATAAATATGACTTAGCACTTGAAACTGTGGGACAATGTCTTTCCTAAATCTTTGTTTCATTTCAAAGGTAGAGAGAGAATTGCTTCCTGGCCTTTTGGCTAAGATCAAGTGTAAAGGCAGAGAGAGAGAGAGAATATGAGAGATGCATAAAGAGAGATTGCATCTTCTGGTTTTACAACCCCAATTTCCCTAATATCTTGGGTTGGCCATGCTGAAGCCACAGCCTGTAATTCCTTTAGATATCTCTCACCAGGGTAGAGAACCAAGCACTTGATCCATCAACTCTTGCCTCACGGGGTGTTTATAGTAGGAAGCAGGGTAAGGAGCAGAGTAGTTCAAGTGGGATGTTTACTCCAAGGTGTCTCAGCAACAGCTAAACTGTGTAGCACACGCCCAGTGTTGGTGAGCTGCTTATTTTTTCATATGTTTGAGAACACTGGATTTTTTTTCTTCCTTTATAGCCCAAGATAGAACATAATACTTTCTTCCCCAACATAAATGTAAAAGAGATCCTATTACTTATTGTTGAACCATAAACGTTCTTCACGACATGGTCTTGGCACTTAAATTATTAAGTCACTTCATGAAATCAAAATTCATTGCCAAAGGTTATGAAAATAGACCATATTTTTAACTAGACATTTAATATACTGGTGCTCCTTTTTGAAATTAAATCCACACTTCTGAAATGAACATATGTGTACCAAATTGCTTATGAGATGTTGTAAGCACTCAGAATCAAGGAAGGATATGCTTGCTCCTCTATTAAATCCAAAGCAAGCTGCCTGTCAAGACTTTAAACTTAGACCTGCTTAAAACCTGTCAGAAGAGGGCAACCAATATGGAAACAACTCTGTGCTAGAAATCAT